AAAATACTCGTAATGTCATTCACCACTTTCATTGTGGCAGTGATGGTGCTATGTTGTTTTCTGAAGCCTGACTGATGAATGGATAAAGGACGCACAAAATATTATTATATAATATTACATTATGGTCAAATGTAAACTGTGTGCAGGACAGAAAGCATTGTCCATCGAATAACAGCAATGCCAATCTCCTGGAGCACCTAACTAATGTACATGAGGCTATAAAACTAGTCGCCAAAGACCCCACCGTCTCAACCACCGGCAGTGACCCAGATGGAGCAACACCATCTAAACAGCCAAAAAACGACTGACCCATTTTTTTAAATCGCCACATGTCACCCAGAGTCAACTAAACAGATTGATTGCTGAAAATAGTTTGTTTGTCTTCAGTGTCAGTCTGACAGTTTATTATTTATCGAATTGGTACTGCCAAAAGAGTGTAGTTCTTGTTTAATTGTTACACTGCCAAAATAGTGTAGTTGTTGTTAATGTGTACACTGTGGTGATTGACATTATTCACCCACGGATCTATGGGTTGGGGTATTGTTCTGCACGGACATTTTAGTGAACCGGACTTCCTGTTTCTGCCGGTCTTCGCTTCCCGGGAATGAAGTTGTGTACAATGGTTTTCAGATGCTAAATAAAAGTCTAGCTTGTACCTTTGATACCCTGCCTCCGACTCCCATCTCTCGGCACCACAACACTGCCAAAAGAGTGTAGTTGTTTTTCAAATCAAATCAAGTTTTATTTATATAGCACATTTATAAACGATTTTTGGTCGAGCCAAAGTGCTGTACATATAATAAAAATAGCCTACAGTAGAGACACTTTACAGCTAATACAACAGCACAGATTTTTTTAGTTTTTATTTCATATTGCACTACTTAGAACTTGATTGTTGAGGCTACAATAAAGATGCCTGCTTTATTGTTATTGCACAGATTACAGGTACTGAGACAACGAAATGCAGTTTAGCTTCTAACGGTGCAACAAGCAGGAAAGTGAAAAGTAATGTACACAATCTACAGAATAAAATATAGAATGAATTGAATGATGAATAAACAGTGAGCTTGGGTATCAACTAGCAGCCTGTGAGCAGTATGAACAGTGTGTATGAATATGCTAAGATATATAAAGTATGAAAACGGTAAGCAGTGCAAGTATAGTATAACATATATGGATATTAATTTCATGATAAACATTGTGGAACAATGATGAAAAATGTGAATGGAAGTGGCGACGTAAAATTTACACAAAACAACAACAAACAAAAATATTTTGAGAAGCCCCCACCCCCCATGTTGCCTGTGCTGTATGCTGCAAACTCTTTGTTTAAAACTAATTGGCCATCGGAATGTGTGGAGTAAGTCTCCCACAGCTCTCCCCCCTCCTGTGATCTCCCAACCCCCAGTCTGTAGGTTTGTGTTCGCATATTTCAGTGTTAATTTTGGCAGCTGTTTTTGATTTAGTCTTAAGACGAAAATGGTTAGTGTTAGGGAAATAATTGTCCTAGACTCCTAGATATGACGTACAGGACCAACCCTGACGTCTGTTTACCTCCTTTAAGGACACAGGCTGTTTCAGCCAATAATGTTATTGTTCCCATTCTGTGACCAGTCAATACTGGGTCACTTCCTTCTCTGTTGTCTGAGGACTCCAGGGCATGACATATCCAAGGCCATAAGTGGCGGAAGCTGGTAACTTAGTGTGCCCAAACTATCTAAAGCTATCTTATCAAAACATGTTGATGACTCTCTGTGGAACCAGTTAAATGGGCTGGCAAGAGAGAGGCTCTCCAGAATTGACGTGGCAACTCTACCGTGAAGTCAGAACCTCTGGCTCTTGGACTTGTGATGTGAATCCTCCGGCCGTAACTCCAAATAAACCATCAGTGTTTGACATCAAAGCTACTGCTCCTACCGTGTCTCCTTCCTGAGTCGGTGACTCCCACAGCAGTGCTACACAGAAGTTTCCTCTACAGTTAGTTTTAGTCACATTTTAGTCATTCCTATCCTTCGTAGTTTTAGTCTAGTTTTAGTCGACGAAAACTCAAAACGTGTTAGTCTAGTTTTAGTCGACGAAAACTCAAAACGTTTTAGTCAACTTTTAGTCGATGAAAAATGACATTTTAATTAACTTTTAGTCAAAATGTGTCTCTATACTCTCTGAACGCTCCGTCCCCGACAGATCTCTGTGTCCGCTGCAGCGTGTCTGTTAGGCCCCACCCCCGCACATAGAGAGACACAGGGAGATCGCTCTTCTGGAGTGAAGAGAGCGGAAATAATGATATTGCAAGTTAGAAACGTAAGATGCATTTTGACAGACAAGATGGACACTTGGGGGGAAATATGCTGCATTTTGAATGTCCGATAGTCCACCATTAACACCTTAGTCCCGTCTCGTCTCGTCAACGAAAACTAAATATACATTTCGTCATAGTTTTCGCTATCAAGAATCTATTTTTAGCTCGTCATCGTCTCGTCTCAGTCATGTAAAAAAGGTTGTTGACGAAAAAATTTCGTCAGTTTTCGTTGATGAAATTAACACTGGCATATTTAAACTGTCGCACTTTCTGTTGTTTCTATTGCGCATTGCCGGTATGAAAGGGTCTGTGCCGGAAATATCAAACATTTAATAAAAGTGAAAAACAATGAACAAGACTTAACGTATTCATCATAATTAATTATATTTATTCCGTTTGGATGTAGGATTTTTGACTTTGTTTAGAGCAGTGATCTTCTCTGTAGCAGAGAGCTAAGCGCTGTCAGACCGGACCAAACCCTGAAAAGTATTATCATCTGAAATGAATCATTATGTTAATATTAATATTAAATACATATAAGTATTTTTACAACTTGTATTTAGAAATACTCTGTTGTAATTATTGATGCATAAATGTGTTCATCCATTCAATGTGGCATCTGCTATAATGGGGTTAATGTATGATATTACTTAATAATACAATACATTATAATATATGATATGATAATTATATTTTAGTTTTATTCATTTCTTATTACATAGTTTCTCATTATTATTATTTTAATTTTTATCGCTCATCTTATTTTTGATTTTATTAATCTGTGCTATCCTGTTTTTCACTCTTACCCTGTTGCTGTTTGAACTACTGAATTTCCCCACGGGGATTAATAAAGGTCCATCTTATCTTATCTTATCTTAATGTATAAGTTGATTTACTTCAATCTACTGTACTGTGTAAAAACACCCCAACAATATTACAAAAAATATACTGCATAAAGCAAACTATATACTTTATTTGATCTAAAACTGATGTTTTTTCATTATAGTAGCTTGTGAAAACCATAACAAATAAGTGATTACATGCTACAGTATTCAACAAACACAACTGCAGAGCTGCAAACATTGCAAACAGACTAAGTTCTACAACACCCAGTTGTCTTTGTGTATTTGTGAATGAAGCGCCATCTCATGGTTAAATCCTGTAATTGAACAAATGGGGAAATTTGGCAACGCCCTCTAGCAATTTGGCAACACCCCCAGCCACTGGGATCCGCTGGGCTTTTGACTGGGACACACCCATGTGAGTCCTATCTGGAGTGCTACATCTGTATCTAAACACTCAGAGAGTAATTTACCTCACCTGAGCTGTAGTTATCAGCCTCTCAGTCTGACAGCAGAGGACTCTCCCTCCACCTTGTTGTTTAAACAGCTCCTTATATCCGTTAGCGCAGCTAGCTAGCACCAGATGCTAACAACAATACACGTAACCGGTGAGCGCGCTTTCTCGCTCGCTCGCGCCACACATACACTAACACACACCCTCCCGAGCTTGAATGACACACAGAGACCAATCGAGGGCATTAGTAAGATCTGTATGAAAGTGGCCATGTCGGCTGGCCACATCATGAAGACAGCCAGTCATCCTCTGTGAGGCAGAGTCAGACCCACATTGCGCAGCGTTGCGTTCACAATACATACAAAATACGCATTTTGCCGGTACTCAGTAAGAAGTGCCGGTACTGTGTACCGGTGAGTACCGGTACACAGCAAGTACTGCACGTCATGTGTATGCTGCATTTTCTATGAGGTAAATATTACCCGCTGGGGGATATAGGTATAAATGGCAATTTTTGTGGCGATTTTTTCAATCTGACTTCATATTGACCATTTTTAACAACAGAGGGTGCTACATAACACACTTTCGGGAAAAGTCACGGACTGGGAGACTTGAATATTTTATTGAAAAAAAGTTACATACAATCAAAAAACAGCTGCGGGTAAAATGTACCTGTTGGCAGTTCTAGTGTTAATAAGGCATTGTCTATTATCCTCTTGAGCCCGAGGGTCCCCCCAGTGGACCCCTCCCACCGTTTTTTTTACGAGACTATGTCTCAGGGCTTCTTAACATTTATGAAACTATAAATGTTCCATACCCTTTTAACGGGAAGAAACTCCGCTAACTGACAATATGAACAATTTTTAGCTAAAAGAAACACAAGAGTAATACCAAGCCTTTGAATTAGCATGGAGTGAAAAAATGCTAACTAATGCTAACAGACTTTTGCACAGCACTCACGGTAGAAATGCCCTTATTACTTATCGTAACTGCACAAACAAGATATCCGATTAAAGCTGAGACTCCACAGATTCCACACATGTAATGTCATCACTGTACGACCCCGAATTCGGAGCTATGAGCCAGAAAAGAGAAGGTAAACAACATCGAGTTTCAAAAATATTACAATAATTACGTCTTACCTTTTTTGGTTTGTGATCAAAAGTTGTGTTCAACGGAATAAAAACGCCGCTCAAGGTTAATCCAATGTCTTTGTGTCAATGTGTCCAATGTCTTTGTTTGGATTCCCAAAGCTTTTAGTCTACTAACCCATCATTCAAGGGTGGTTTTCACTATAAGTAATGTTTTTTTTTTAGGCGGACATTAGAATTTACATGTTTTTACTATGTTCCATCTGAATTTACTTTAAAATAAAAACATCTATATTGATTCTGACACTTCTACATCCAACTCACAGATGTAACCTTGCTTTGAGAGAAAAGATTATTAATTTACCCCTTTTAGAAGTGAAGATATAGTCTTTGTTGTGTTAGTGGCATGTTCGAGCCTGAAACAGGCTCAGGGCTTAAGAGGTTATTCAATGCATGTGTAAAAACCTAAAAAATGAAAGTAATGGATGCTGAGACAACTAATCTGAGAAGAGTGACAAGAAGAGTTGCTGCAGAAGAAGAGTGAACAAAAAGAGCACAGACCGGCTGAAAGAGTGAAAGGAGAGACTACCTGGTGTGAGAGTAAGAGGGAGAGCCACTGCCTTGGTATCAGTGATGGTCAGCAGGTTTTTATTGGCAGTGAGGACAGACAGCTGCTGGAAGCCCTGACAGGTTCCCCAGATAGGGAAGTAGTCCCCAGCATCATTGGCCTGCAGAGGACAAGAGAGTGAGGAATGAGGAGCTATAATCAAAGTGTCTCAATCGCAAGTAATTCAGGTAAAATATCAAGTGAAACTGGAAAAGTAACCAGTTCAACATGATTGAAAATAAAAATGTCACTTATAATTCAAGTGTCTAAATCTAATAGATATAGCAAAATTCATACCAAAACAGTTTGAGCTAGACAAATATCGAAATGTTACAATGTCAAAAATATTTTACCTTTAGAGCCAAGTCGTAAAAGATCTTAGCTGCTCGACTGTATTGTGATGTCTGAATATTTACATCTCCTCCCGGAAGCAACAACCTGAGAAGACAATTTGTTGTTTAAAATTAGGGTCCAGGCTTGTAAATCTTGCACTAGGTTGATTTAAATGTCCACAGCTTTTACCTGTATAGAAACATGACTTAATGTGAGTGTAACGTATAAGCTTGCATTTAATATAAAACAACAAGAGAATAAATAAGCAGGTCAAAGCCATAGACCATGAACAGAAAAATTAGTCTGTGTCCCTTTTTGAAAAAATATATATATATTCAGATGGCATACACAGCTTTAGCTTGCAGTCTAGTGATTAGCTGTTTTAACAATCGACACGTGCTGTATTAGACCTTAATGCAAAAATGTCTCCACAGAATAGGGCAAACTCTCAGCCATTGCCACCTCAGCCAACTATCATTGAATGTATAAGAAGCTAGTTTATTATTGGCCAAACGTCTTCTTTTGATTGCTTTCCTGATATGTTTATTAGCCTGTTGATCTTCTAGCTAGCATATTATGCTAAAACCTGCTTTAAGAGACTGACCACATTAACAATCTACAACTGTGGTGTATTAGACCCTAAAGCAAAAAATTGTCTCAACAGAAAAGGTCAACATCTCTGCCATTGTCTTATTTCAACACCAACAATCATTTAATGTATAATAAGCTAAGAATAGTTTCAGTATTGGCCAGAAGTGACTTGATCTGCTCAATTAGCCTGTTGATCTTTTAGCTAGCAAGCTATGCTATCACCAGTTGTTATTAGGCCTGGAGCAGGGATGGGTAACTTGGATGGTGGTGGGGGCCACATAATTGATGTACTGGCCACCAGGGAGCCGCAGATTCACTTGGAACACACACACACACATTCTATATATTGTATGTAATTATTAACAAATTAAGTCTGACATCTTCATTGACATTTTAGAATATTTCAGGGAACATCCTCTAATAAGCTCACTAAACAATATCAGTTCACAGAAATGTTATTTAATTTTTACAACTGGCATGTTTGTATTAAACAGGTTATTTAACAGTGGAATAAAACTATTTTAAACTATTGGAAAGCGCGGAAAATGTGTGTGCATTAAGAATAACCATTAAGATGACATAAACATGAAGTCATGAACACTAACCCAGACATTAGTTGTCTAACTTGAACCTAAGACACTTGTAGCCCCTGCTGACGCACAATAAGGGGAATGTCAACAGAGACACCTGTCAACCCGCACTCTGCTGTTCCTCAGCGCCGCTCCCCCTCCCTCCCGCTGAAATTTTGAATGAAAAGCGTATAGTAAACACGGCAGGTTCCGTGACAGTTTGTTTTCATCTGATTTCAAATAAACAAAGTCTTGGTTTTTAGAATAATAAACTCGTTTTGCCAAATTCAGATGATAAATACAACTTTGAAGCTTGTAAAGGCATAATTACAAGCGGTAATTTAACATCACAGCAGGCATAACAACAGCCGGTGTTTCTTGTGAGTGTTTCCCCGGGAAACAAACACAATACACACAAACGCCTCACACATTATTTCGCCGTATTTGGCTGCCGAACGAAATCATGTACGCAGCTCGCGACATAACTAGGAGTCTAGTGGACGGTATCAGTACTACAAGTTACAAAATATATAATTTTTTTTAAATTTAATTAATTATGTTGTTTATAAATTAATCTGAGGGCCGCAAAAAGAGTAGGCGGGGGCCGCATGTGGCCCCCGGGCCGCCATTTGCCCATCCCTGGCCTAGAGCATCAAAAGCCAGTTAGTGTGTTAAATAGAGATGTTATCAAATCAAATGAGAAAACAAGAGTTGATGTTAACTTACCCATTTATCGCGTTAAATATATGTGCATATTCTTCTTCTGTGCGATTGATTCTGGTGAACAGAAAAGGCAAAACAAATTTTAGAATTGTTAAACCCAATAACTATCATAGACAATCAAATACATTATTAACCACTCCACATTAAAACAACATTTTATGTATGGCGACACTGAAAAATGTACCTTTATTAATAATAATTTCAACATTATAGACCATGAATGTAGTATCAACGTTAGAGGATATTTAGTACCATTGCCTTTTACTAGTCCAAGTATGACAGGGAAGAAGAGAGAAAAGATTGAGTGTTGTGAAAACATTTAGGTAGTTTTGTCTCATATTTCAATCCAATTCGTAATTTCGTCTTAAATATTTCAATCCAATTTTTGTTATTACAAAAAAGAAACCCACATTTGTAACTACTGGTATAATGAAGTTCTGCCCCCTTCTATAGGCTACGCCCCTTAAACTCTTCAGGCAGCATGACTGATAACTGCTGTGAGTCACATCACTGTCACAGTTTTTCACCAGATGCAAACAGGTATTAATACTCATTTAGTAATTTTCCAGACTACCTTTTAAATGACGCCATACACATCTTACTCACAGCATTAATAGTCATAGTGTCTTGGTATTACACCAAAATCTTCCCTGATAACCGCTGGCTTTCTTGGTAGAAAAAAAAGCTGCTAGAGCGCCAAGAGTAAAATATAAAGTTAAATTGTGGGCGATCTGTGGGATGTTTAACCGTCAACATGTGGTTCTGATGAGATTGTACCACGGCCTTTTTGCTGTACACAGGGGACCAGTGAGGTAAGCAGTCACAAAAGCAAATATAGCCTAGCTTATGTTGATAGTTGTTTATATCTCTGCGAATGATTTCAGAATGAATGAAAGCATGACCCTATAGGCTACTGTACGTTACACAGAGCCTAGATAGAAATGCAAGGAAATGATGCGTAAATACTATGCTTCCTGTGTTTTGGTGGGGACTGCGATCACATCAGCGATGAACCGCCCCAGAGTTCACTAGCAAGCGGTTCGAGACCACCTCTTTTAGGCAGACCAGAGTCCGGTTGTTTAGTTCACTTAATAATAATAATTCTTTATATTTATTATAGCGCTTTTCCAGAGCTCAAAGCACCTTACACACGTAACGGTCATATACTGTGGACAATACCCACAGGAGCAAATTCCTGTGAAGTGTCTTGCCCAAGGACACAACGGTTTTACAGACGCAGCGGCGGTGTCCGGTTGTTTAGTTCACTTCAGAGGTCTCAGACTGCGTTCACACCAAATCAAACTAACCACACCAAGGGGTTAAACACTCCATTCAACTGTACTTAACAAGGCTGGTGTGAATGTGACCTTAATGTATAGCCTTTTCTCCTTATTCATTGAGGAATCACCTATTTGGCAATCTGAGCTTTCTATCCTAAATCGTTTTTTTGTTGTTTCTCAAAGCAAACGGCCCATTGAAGCAGACACAATGGGAAGATTAGGTGCTGGTTTACATCATAATGCAGTTGAATGAGTCAGTAAAAACCTTGCGGTTGCTTGTATTGCTAAACAGCGACAGGAAATGCAGGTGAATGCATGAAATGTGAGTAGACTGGCTGCAATTATGCGTCGACAAAACAAGAATGTTTGCTGGAGTATTAAATTACATTTGCCGCGGTAATCGCTATCAATCCAAATGAACCAGGACTTAAATCTTAGGGATTACAACTTGTTTCACGTGAAGCAGGTCATAATCATGTAACCTAGGTATCTGTGCAAATAATAAAAGGTAATAATAGGTCTGGTTTGTGTGTCAATACACAACTGCATAAATTAGCCGTAGGACTTCTTACAGGTTCCTTAACAAAACATATATAAGAGACTGTTTTACCTCACAGGTACAACCCTAGCCCCGGCTCCTTCCAGGAATTTGACATAGGAGGCAGCGATGTAAGAGAAGCCATGAGCATACTGGTCATCTGGAATATTTTCCTGAGCCAACACACCTTAGGATGAAAGAACACGCAAACTTATCACATGATTTTATGTAGATATAGAAAGGTTGACAATGCATAGCTGATAAATCCTAACTAGAAAGATTAAAAACAACAAAGAGCAGGAGAATATAAGTTAATGTTAATAAAAATAACTGGTGCACTCTTGAAAATGAAATCATCTACAATTGTTGTTCATTTAAGTGAGATTTGCCAATCCTTGAGTGTTTCCTTTTGCTTTCCTGAATAAGATATCTAAACAAAACATTATTATTAACATGTAACACAAAACACTACAAACTTTACAAGCAAAATGTACCTACTAAAGGCAGTTTGAAAATAATTCCCCATGTCCCCTTAATATGTCAAGAAATTGTACACAAATCACAACACACAAAGTTTGACCCCAAAGTCCTCCTGTAATTTCAGCGTGGATTTTAACATTGAAATGCAAAGCAGTAAAAGGGCAAAGAGAGCAGAGGAAGTAGAACAAGCTACATGTATTGCACTGATTGGAGACCACTGGACATTGGTTACAACCATCACTACCTCAAATATGTTTAAAGACAATAACAATGGCATTTGAGGTGGGGGTTGAGGTGACGTGCAGCAACATTGACATTAACCTTTCTGTTGGTCGCTTGTTAGCAGACCCTTCACGCGATGGCAGAGCGAACAGGTACAGGCAGGGCCCATAATGTTAGCCCTATAGTTTAAATCTACTACCCACACATGAACATATGGAAATAGTTACTATTTAAAAAAAAAAAAAGTATTTATAAATGTATTTAGGAACCTATCCATGCGATTTTTAATGGGGGTCGACCTCAAATCCTCTAGGGGCGTCCAGGGGCATGCCCCCCGGTAAGATTTTATTTTTTATTTTGGAGTTAAATGCATCAATCTGGTGCATTTTGAGGGGAAAATAAAGAGACTAGATCTATGGAAACAGCTATATTAAACAGAACTGTATACATTTCAATAATCATAAAATCAAGGCCATAACCAATAACATACCATTTCCAATATGAAAAAAACACTGAAACTTGTTTATTAATTTATTTTTGGTTCATTTATAGTTGTGAGTGTGTCTGTGCTCCTGAATCAGCCTCTCCTGTCTCCCTCCTCTCCCCCCTGCTCCTCTTTGAGGCAGCAGCAAAGACTAGTCTTCTCTCAACAAGTTTTAAAAGTGTATCTTACCTTTTTTCACCTAGTTAACTTTTTATTTATTTATTCATGCATATTTTACTAATCACATTACATTTCATTTAGCTGACGCTTTTATCCAAAGTGACTTATAATGACCGATTACAGGGACATTCTCCCTGGAGTAACTAAGGGCTAAGTGCCTTACTCAATGGCACACTAGTGGTGGTGTTCCTGGCGGGATTTGAACTCAAAGCCTTCCGATCTCCAGCCCACCTCACTATCCATTAGACCAATCACTACCCTCTCAAATGGAAATATGTGTTTACATAAATGGTGACCACACCGTTCGAGACCCACTGAGAACTGAGACTAAGTTAACTATCTAAACACTCAGAGAGTCCTTTACCTCACCTGAGCTGAGGTTATCCCGAGCTTGAATGACACACATGCGGCTTTCACACCAGCGCTTTTCCCTTTCTAGCTCCGAGCTAGAGCTTTTCTGGTTCAGCTCCGGTTTCCCTTTTCTGCTCCCGCTCTGTTCACACCGCCCAGCACCCGACTGGTGCTGCCGCTGCTGCGTCATGACGTCATCGTTTACATCGCTGATTTGCTCCCCAACGCCATTACGGCGCTCACAACAACGGGGAACTGCGTCGGGTCGATTATCGTGTTGCTTTTAATCACACGAAGCCAGATTAAATTGAATAACGACTTCTCCAACCTTATACTTTGCTCCAGAGTGCCGTGGTTCATTGTTTATTAATGTGTTTCTGCAGCATTTACCGACCACTGCAGTGTTGGCTGCTCTTCCACGGGAGTTTATTCTCCTCCCTTAGCTCCCGGTTAGCTCACACTGCTGCGGCCGCTCTAAAGTATTCACTGTCCGACTCACACAAGCAGCTGATACATATCCCCAGTTCCCCTTAGCCTAAGTGAATGTGTGTCAGTCTGAATTGACGCTGTTTGGTATCACAACGCTGTTATGAAAGTTTCTCTGGTATAAAATGGGTGATGTTAGCATAGCAACCGAAGCTAAACTGACTACTTGCTATTGCTATCCTATTGTGGCATAAACCGTTTTCTACAGGCACATTTTACAGGCGTATTTTTATAATGATTCTACTTGTGATAGTCGGACACGACAACCTGTGTAGCCCATGTATTGATTCCATCCGATAGCTGCTATAATACAAAACAAAACGTCTGCCTCTCTCCACAATGATCAATAACAATGAACGGATGGTCAAAGTAAGGTACAAATAAACAGAATCACACGAAGCCTGGTTAGTGTTGCCTGACTTTATAAAGTGTGTTTATAAGCACTACTGCTTGTAGGCAGGCATGACAGTCGACCCATGTTCAGGGGAGGAGGGTTTAGTTTCCTGCACGCCTCGACGTAAGAGAGACGTAAGCGACGCCACCTCTTAGCTCCGAAGCTCTTGCCTCTAGACCGACAATTTTTTAGAGCTGGAAGTGAACCCGATTCCGAGCTAAGAGCCGGCGCCGCTGCGGTGTGAACAGGAAAAACCGGCGCTTTTCAGGCTCCAGCTCCGAGCCGGAGCTGAAAAAGCGCTGGTGTGAAAGGGGCAACAGAGACCAATCAAGGGCTTTGATTTATGATCTGTATGACAGTGGCCATGTCGGCAGGCCACATCATGTGGACAGCCAGTCACCCTGTGTGAGGCAGACCACATCATGTAGACAGCCAGTCACCCTGTGTGAGGCAGGCCACTTAACAGGCCAGAAGGAGGCGAGATCGGAGCGAGGGATCATTGTCCACAAGTTAATCGATCGCAGATGGCGTCGTGGTCACGGACGAATAAAAAAAAAAATTATAAAAAAAAACAACCTAAATGGGTCGCGAAATATACTTGGGCGGCCGTTAATATACCTGGGCGGCCCGCCCAAGTATAGTCTATGTGTGGGAAACCCTGTATATATATATATATATATATATATATAAATATAAATATGAGCACACATTGTCTCACAAGCAAAAAAAAACTCCATACAAAGACCCAGATGCCTCAACAGGCCATATCCAAATCTGTATTTCAAAGATTTCGAGCAAGGAACACTAACATGTTTGCATTGTCGGGCAAATGCATCTTTGATTGTAAACTGTCGGGAAGGTGGGGGCTCTCCATCTCCAGCTGCCGTGTTTGCTCCCAGTTGGGAAAACGGAATGGGGTGGTTGTGTTTCAGATGCAGTTTAAGGTTGGTCGTATTGCTAGCTTTTGTTGCTAGCTTTTTAAAACAAATGCGACACACCGCCCGGCTCATTCAAGTTCGCCTCGTTGATTTGGCTTAAATCCAAAATATTCCCACACCGGAGATGTGGTATTAGGTTTTGCAACCAATTCCATTTAATTTCAAATTCCCCTCGAGTAAGTCACAGGTTGTCTCCTGCTTGTCTCTATATTATTAATTTGGCTGCTACACTGTTGCACGCAGAGTTTCCTGACTTGGCTGTGTGTGAGCCCCGCCTCTCACAGGGCTAAAATGCTGTAAACAATCAATTTATTGATTATCGCGACAGGCCTAGCTGTGGGTATTGTCCACAGTAATAACTGTTCCATGTCTAATATGTGTGATGTGTAATATAAAGCGCTTTGAGCACCTGGAAAAGCGCTCTAATAAAAATGTAATGAATTATTATTATTATTAACGTTAGAGCATGGAGACATGTCACAGTAGAGGTACAACATACAGATATGAACCTGAAAATGAGCATAATATGTCCTCTTTAAGCAGCATTCAACTTGAAACTGTTTAGCCGTTTTTATCTGCAGATTGTACCGACGCAAACGCTGCAACTCAAAATATCAAATTTCCCACTGAATCCCTGATTCAGCAGATCACCCAGGCATGACCCACAAAAGGTCAAAATAATGAGATAAGTAAGTCATAATAATGAAATAGTAAGTCATAATTATGACTTAAAGGATATTATTTTTATTTTCTGTGGCACAAACAGGCTCCCATACAAAACAAACCCGAAAAAGGCCACCTGAATGAGGTAACACCTAAACCCTGGGCATGACGAAGGCCTTGCCAGGTCTTTGTAATTCCTCCGTTAGACTCAAACAGAGACCATACAGTAAGTCATGACTTGTCAGTGTTAACCACAATGAGAACAACAGGTTTGTTTTCAACAACATGGTGTCCTGTAATAGTTCTCTATATCTAATCAGTAAAGACACATTCCGTAGATGTTCTGTTAAACAAACAGCCTCTGCACAGATTTCATTACGCTGATATCAGTTTAGGTCAGGGGTGGGGAACCTCCGGGCTGTATACGGACCGCAAGGCCATTTGGTATGGCCCTCGAGGTAATTTATAAACACACGCAAAAAAGAAAAAAATTAAAGAAATCTAGACCGCAAAATAATTAAACAAGCGAGTACCTGTTTTTCCTGGCCAAGGTCAGGGTCCTTGGACACAACACGAGCCTAACGTGTCATCACGTGGTATATGTCTCGTCGGACAGAAATTGCGGTACCCATAAGGAGCCGTACACATGCCGCAGTTTGTGCGTGGCTGTGTCTTTAGTTGAAAGCCCAGTGGCGATCTGCTCATCTGTCATACTGATCATACAGTCAATAACTTTGTTGTTATTAGCATCTGGTTAGCTAGCTATGCTAACGAATATAAGAAGCTTTTTCTCCAACCAGTGAGGTAAAGGCACATCTTTATATGATCATTATAGTTATCAAAAAATAAGAGAATAAAGTAAACAGGTATAAAATACTATGACAGTAAAACAAAGTTGTTATTAATAAACAAGAATACAGTTTGAAAGGGGAGTGATTTGTAAAATATCCAAAAAGAAAATCTGCTTACAGTTCTGTTTCATATGGGTG